ACATGATATTTATTTAGTGAAAACAATTCTGAAAAGTACATATCAAGTATACTAGCAGAAATAGAAGTAGTTTTATTTAAAATTTATTTTTATTATCATTTCATTTCATTTCATAAACAAAATACTGTAGCATAGCTGTCAATGTTATTTTGCCAAATGTTGCCTTGTAAACATTCTCTTTCAACTAATGAATAATTCTCATGGTTTGTAGTATACTACAAGTCTAAATATTCATAAATACCTTATACATGGTACATTATGCATGATACACACAAGTGCATGTACAAGTACTTTAAACTGATAAAGACTAATCTTTCAAGGCAGGGTCAGAATGAATTCTACCGCGATGAGATGATAAGAATGACCGCATTTTAATCTTAAGACAGCACTTGCGTAGGGAGGAGTGAATGCTCTAATTGCCGAGTGCATATTATATAAACCATGATGTTGATTGGCTGTCTCTCTGCAATGAGCTCCAATCTCTCAGTTGATTGGCTGTCTCTCTGCAATGAGCTCCAATCTCTCAGTTGATTGGCTGTCTCTCAGCAAAGAGCTCCAATCTCTCAGTTGATTGGCTGTCTCTCTGCAATGAGCTCCAATCTCTCAGTTGATTGGCGGTCTCTCTGCAATAAGCTTCAATCTCTCAGTTGATTGGCTGTCTCTCTGCAATGAGCTCCAATCTCTCAGTTGATTGGCTGTCTCTCTGCAATGAGCTCCAATCTCTCAGTTGATTGGCTGTCTCTCTGCAATGAGCTCCAATCTCTCAGTTGATTGGCTGTCTCTCTGCAATGAGCTCCAATCTCTCAGTTGATTGGCTGTTTCTCTGCAATGAGCTCCAATCTCTCACTCAGATTTCAATGGTCTAATGTATTGCTCTATTGGAACCCATACATTTATATAAATTGATTTTTTAAATGAACACTAAGTATTTGTATTTGAAAACCAGTAATTTGGTTGTCAATGAATACAGTAAAAAGCAATGTCCAGTGAAACACTGAAAAGTATGTTGATACAAAAATATTCTTTGCAAATAATTAATTAACCCACATTGAAATTATGCAAGATATGATTGTCCACAAAAGAATTGGACAAAAATATAACAGGTAAGGGATGGTTGGGCTTGGAAGCTTTGGGAGAAAAACCGAATTTCTGATAAAAAACAAAACAAATCGAACAAGAACAGAATTGCATATATACAATTGTTGAAATAAATAAATAAAATAATTAAAAAAAAATATACAACCCCCAGCACAGAATCTTCTAGAATGGTTCGTCCCTAACCACAAACTTAAAGTCATACTATACTGGTAATTATCGTATAGTAAATGAACAGGAAATGAATTATACAAAGCAGGAAATAAGATAAGAAATAATGTTTAGTCTGGAAATTATATCATAATTATGAATTTTCAGAAAAAAAAAAAAATGACAGCATTCTTGATAAGTTTATCAAAGGTAATAAATGAGAGAGTAATGGCGACTGTGCGGCCGCCATAGAAAAGCATGATAAATGAATGGGTAGTTTTATGCAGTGACAGATATCCCAGTGGATTCGCAGAGTTGCTAGTGTAGCAAATAGTGTATGCGTAATTAAGCTGTCTAAACACTGCAAGTCTGTACAATGTACACAATAGAAATGACTATTGCAGACATTGTCTAATCCCATATCACGATGTCAGCTATTTCATTTACTGAGAAAAAGATTAATAATTATACTGGGGTAAATGTCTTTGCGAAAATGTGACTGCCGAAAAATGTTTTATACAATCTTATGCATAAAAGCAGCCCACTATTATCTTCAATCAAGATGCAGTTATAGAGTGTACACGTACACCTTAGAAAATCGACAGTATTGCTAAAAAATGATATTATTAACTTCGCCTGCTGAAAACCTCTATGAACAGCAGATATGTATGATACAGTGTATATAACTATGTCAACAGAAAATTGCTAATACATCTAGCAAATTCAATTTTACAAATGTTAGAGAAGTTATTGATAATGTGTAAAAATGATACTCAAGGGTGGAATATTATTTTGAAGGGGGGGTGTAAGATTATATTTCCCTCACACTAACATTACAACTTTGCTTTTTACAGTGAAGCTGATATTATTTTTTTTTCCGAACAACCTATGCCTGTATTGGAAATAATGGGCAGCTACTAGTAAATTTTTGATAATGATAACTGAGAGAAATGATAATGGTTTATAATTTACATTGTACTACATTGGTAGTGGAAAATGCAAAGTATGAACACCTTGTCACTCATAATAAACTGAAATTGAACTCCGATTTTAAGTTAATTTGTGAAGAATATTTTGAGTTCAATAATTGCATGTACTTGTGTTACTAGTATTTAACTTGACTAGCAGCAAAATTTGATGATATTCAGATGCAACCATTATTGAATATGCCACCATATGCCAATCATCAGTGAATCACTTAGATTCCTCACAAGCAAGGACGGTTTTTGTAACGAAAATGAGCAAGGATGTAACACTTTCACAAAAACAAGTCAGGTCACACCCACCTTTGCATTTTGAGGAGTGCATTAAAACAGGACTTACCTCAGAAGAACACATCAAAGCAAGCTACGTGGACGCACGGTTACTAAAATAACCGTGGTGGACGTGACCAGCTTTCAGTGTATGTACTCTACCAGTATGACAGTGTCAATGTTATCAGAACTCTGTTAGCATACCACACCCATGGGATAACACTACAGTAATTGTAGGGCTTATCAATATACACTATATTTACTGCTGGCTAATAACATTACACAGAGGCCCCCAAGAGGGATCATGGGAGAAAACTTCTGATAGGCTGCTCAGTATATATATATATAAATTTTGGGAGTAAGGGGTAGACTATTAAAAACTTGAGGGCATGGTGTACATTATTTGTGTAGCAAAGAAAAAAAAATGCCCGAGGTAGATTCTTTATTCAGAATGATGTTGCAGTGAAACAATTTTTATTGCTTTCCTCCACTCCATCATATTTTTCAGTCATCTTCTCTCTAGTCAACTTTTTATAAATATTACTTCAATATTGGATTTCATGAAAGCATCAAAGTTTTTA